GATTGATGAACATCTTTTAAATCATGGAGTTTATATTAATTCTACATATATCTATTCTTTTACACCAGGTTATACACCACTGTGTCTTGCTGTTAAAAACAGGCATGTAAATGTTGTTATGATGCTGTTAGACAGAGGTGCTAACATTAATTCTATATCAGAGAAGGTTTATCTTAACCTTTATTGTGGCTTCATTGGTTCTAAACCAGTTGGTGATATTCTTACACAGCATATAGTTAAGATGAAAACTGCAAATTTCTACGTAAGTGAACACTTATTTTCAATGGGTAGCAATTATGAAATAAGATATTTACAGGATATATGTGAAAACGAAGTAGCAGTCATGAAGAATGAGAAAATTAGTAATTCTAACATTTCATTTTATGATATCTTGATAAAAGATACAAATCCAGTAGCAATATATATGAGAAATGAAAATGTAGTGCAGGTTCTAAGATCAGACGATTATAAAACAAAATTTCCAATATACGCTACCATGATAAAAAATAAGTTTAGAAAAGGTATGGAAAGGAAAGAGTTGCTCGAACAAGGCACTAAAATTTTCTATTTTTTCTGTAATTTTCCTGAGCTACCACATGAGTGTATTGAACAAATATTTAGTTACCTAAGTGATAACGACGTAAGAAGTTTAATAGATACTTGTAAGTCTGTTAGTGTCAGTAATCTTAATACTAATATTAATGATGTAACAATTACCTCAAATACATCTAAAGTGCTATGTGTAAGTTAAAGAAGAACGAACTACTTCAAACATGAAATAACAGCTATAAAAATTTAAAGATTATTACTTTATTTTATATAAATACAGATTACTATCTTATTTTAAAATTATATTTTTGTAGGAGTTTATCGTATTTTACTTTTTTAAAAGTTGGTTTTTACGTTTATATTCTCTTGGATATGTTTTCTTATGATGAATCCAAGGAAAACTAGACTGTTTTATATCTCTCACTTTTTCAAACTTTGTGTCAGATTTTATAACATTTGTACAACGAAAAATTTATACTCATTAATCCGATGATACTCTTTCATTGAACAGACTGTAACACGTGTAATTGCTTTTATTAATTTAAAAAATAAAATTAGATTGGAAAACTTTGAATCAATCTTTGTTTTTATCACAGATATATGTATGTATTTTCCTTATATATAATTTTTTTAATATATTAACGATAACATACCTACAGAAAAGAAAGAACTTCGCTGTGTACAGTGTATAAACGATGCATAATCTAACTATGTTTTAAATTAAGTTATACAATAATTTATTCTATCTGTAATATTTCATCGATATCCGAATCCAAACCCTGACGAAAGTAAGAAGCTTTACAGAGCGTTGATAATCGTTTAATGAGAATTTTCTGAGAGTTTATACGCTTTCAAACTTTATAACAGAGATGTGCAAAATAGGTATCTAAAGCCATTTGAAATAGAAAATGCAAAATAAGTAAAACTTTTCCATTTGAAAATGCAAAATGCAAAATGGTTTTAGATACCTATTTAAAATAGGAAATGGAAAATAGGCATTTTTAAAATGCTTTTTCACAAAAAAAAATGGATTTTTTAATATTTATATTTT